ACAAACAGCAGGAAAGCTTCAAAGGCTTTGATTCATAGCATTTCATAAAACATATCATTACAAATTCATTCCAAACCAGAAGACAAGTTGTAGAAAACTGCCCGTTTTTAAAATCACACCACACAAAGCTGTGACTAAGACTGATCTCTTGCTATAAAATAAGCTGTTTCGCTACTTCCATCCAGGGGCATTGAAATCACTGTAGTTGTGCCTCATTGCTCTGACAGCGTGGCACAGCTGACAAACATCTTCCCTTATGTGTCACTATCTGACAGGGAGAAGAAAAACTATCAGGAGGACAAATTTGACATCATGTTGAGCTGTTAGAAACCCACTGACCAGTACACCTAAATGCCAAAACTGGAAAAAAAATTTGGGTAGAAATACAGATAAATACAGGGATCAATATAATACAAAGAGTATGGAAATAGATATGTAGATAAAATAAATACATGGTGTGAAATCACTGACTCTGCTAAAGGCCTGTAAGGCAGGAGGAAACTGTCTCAATTTAAAATGAAAATTTATAAATTGAATGCATCTTTCACCTTTAAAATTGTATGTAAAGGTGCTACAGAAAAGAAAAATACTGACTTTAATGTCAGGTAAGACAAAAATTATTGCCACTCACTTGCGTCCCACAGTGCTCCCATTCCTATGTATGCAGGTCACCTCCCGTGTCTGGTAGCCCACCTGGATGTCCCAGAACCGACTTTCCTGCCGGTTAAGGCGATTCCGGGTTCGCTTCTTCTGGATAAGTTCCCTGGTCTCTGGATCTTTGACGCCTACTCTCTCCCTGAGCCCCTGGCCTTTGCCTTTCCTGCGCTTGGCTTGGCGTGCTGTTCGAGTCAGGGGGAGGGTGCAAGGGCTCCACGGTCCAACCCTGAGACTGTACATGCCCTCTGGACCTGTGCAAGGCCCTGGTTTACAAGACTGAAACTCGGTAAGGTTGGGGCAGACAGTGCCTCCAAAAAGTGGAGGAACCAGGACACTGCGGACCCTGTTCCTGAGGCCTGTTCCACACGTTTTGGAGCAGGAGGTCCATGGTGAATACTCGGAAACCACACAATCCTGTGGGCAAGGGATCAAACATGCCTGCTCCAGGCGAGGCTTGGGCTCAAAGTACTCACAGATGGCATCATCTGCTGGAGACCCATCTGACCTTAGTATGCAGCCCACCTCTCGGGTCTGAATGCCCTCTTCGCCCCCACTGCATGCAAATGGCCATGGGGAGCCAAAGGTCCTTGCCGACACTGGCACACACTTATTCCAGGCACCAAGTTTCCAATCATAAAGGTCTTTGTGCCAGTCACACACACGAAAACAGTTTCTCTGGTTGGACGGACGCTGGCCCTGGTCACAGTTGGTGTGAAGCGTTGTCCAGCCGTCCACATGGGCACACCAGACTGCCCGGCTTTGGCTGCCACCTGGGCCACAGTCGCTGCCCATGCACCGCTTACCTAGCCACAGTTCTGTTCTGATATAATCCTTCTTCGTTCACGCTTGATTACAAAATTCCAATGTGTTTGGAAAAAAAGGCATTAAGCTGCTGTATAGCAGAGCAAGTTCTCTGAAAGTCCAACGTGTTTGGGAAAAAAAGGCATTAAGCTCCTGTCTAGCAGAGCAAGTTCTTTGAAAGTCCAACGTGTTTGGAAAAAAGACATTAAGCTGCTGTCTAGCAGAGCAAGTTCTCTGTGTTTGGAAGAACAGCCGTGTTGTCATCGTATTCAAAAAGTCCTGCTCAACAAAGTCCTTTCGAAAAAATCTCTTCACTGTGAGCAGCAGTGAGCAACCTCGCAACAGTTCGGTTCTGATATAATCCTTTTGCCAGACTTGTTCAGAAAAGTCCATTGTATTTCAATAAAAGGATTAACTTGTAAAAAATAGTCAGCAGACTGAGTTCTCTGCTGTGAGCGCACCCACAGTGAGGGAACAGTGAGACGGCACTCTCTCTGGAATCTGCAAAATTACACAAATACCGTTCATCCCATCACAATAACAATGGTATAGATAGATTGTTGACAATTTTCTCTATGATTTTCATCTATTATATGTGTATAAAATTTAAGGATAGCATAATAGAAGCAGAAAAACAAGGAGTAGTTGGAAAAACAGACAGGCAAGCTAGAACGGGGGGGTCACGTGATGCAGAGTGTGCCTATTCAAGTCAATGGAGCCATTCAAACTGAATGGAGAAGTACACAAAATATAAATGGCGAGTATACAAAAACCATAGAAGATTCTTGCACCATCAGTAGATAAATTTGTCACGAGTTGAATACAGTTGAAATGGCGTTTCTAGCCTAAAATATGCCGGAAACAATGTTCAAAGAGGTCAAGGTTTTTCCAAGACTTTCCCATTCATTTGAATGGGAGAATTTTTTTGAAAAAAAGTTGAATTTATTAAAAATTATGAAAGTTATGAAAAAGTTGACTACAAGCCATAATGTCCTTAACAAGCTGAACATTTCGATACCAGAATGGATTGTCTAGCGGAAGGTATGTGGAAGGAGATGAGCGGCAAAAAACGTACGGAAGAAACTATAATAAGATTTGGAAAACAAGAGTGTGGCTGCATAGCATCCACACAATAATAAAAATTGGAAAACAAGAGTGTGGCTGCATAGCATCCACACTATAATAAAAATTGGAAAACAGAGTGTGTTGCTTTGTATCCACAAAATAAATGCCAGGATAACAGTGTGGATACTTTACAGCATCCACACAATCAAGGTTCTATTCACTGACAGAAGGTAAATCTATATGTAGCTTGCTAAGCTGCAAGGAAATGTAAGCTCAGGCATACAGTGTTTTATACTGCTTTATAATTCCTCTCTATTGACACTCATCCATCCATGCAAGTTCCATAAAGAAAGGCCCTGGTCAACGTTTTTGCTGTGAGATGACACAGCCAACTGCTCCACTACCGTGCCCTCCCTACGCTCCTCCACAACAGCAACAAAGTACACGTACAAAAAAATGCCATTTTAAAAAGTACTGGACAACCAAAAGCTGCTGCCTAGATCACCTGACATTAACCAAGTAGCATATTCCACAGCTTTCAAACCTGTGCTGGTAATTTTACTTGTCATTCTCACATCATGTAAATGTTACAACTGCAGTCTGATGAGGTCAGACTTGTTACAGGCGTGAAACGAATGCTGTCACATTAACAGAAAGCCTGCAGTAGCAAAAGGTTAAATATGCATGCAGATGTTGACAGATTTTCTGGGATTTCTGGGACTCTGCACCTGCTTAAACTTGAATAAGCCTTAAACCAGCCGCAAGACAAAGGATCAACTCAATTTCCAATTTCCTATACAATATGGTAAATCACACACAAATTTGTTTTTCCTAAATTAACAGAAAATAAACACAGCTATATTTTAAATCACTTTTCACTAATTTCACCTTGATTTAGTCTAGTACATTTCCAAAACCTACATGTGTCCCAGTGAACAGACACGAGTGGCGTGTTCAACATTGGAACATCTGTCTGTCAGCAGCTCCTGATAAAGGACAGCCGACGGACAAACTGTCTTCACCAGGTTGACCAGCAGAAATGTACTGGACAAAAACAGTTTTCATGGAGGGTTAACTGGAAGAAATCAGCGTGTTTTGATTATTCCTGGCTCGCTACAAGGAGCAGGGGACAGTGAAACCCAAAAAGCTTGGTTACATTAGAAGTCTGAACAGCTGCAACAGATACCAGTAAAAAGTTTCCAACAGAAAACGAGATTTGTGTGATTTAACTAGCTGACTGTGAAGATTTGGCTTCACTAAAGAAGGAACAGACCTCAAGATTCAAAAATTTTTAACTTAATAACTGATTTTTATCTCCTATCATCTGTATATTCCCTTCAACATGAATTTGGTATGTTTTAGGTTATTTTAACTTTTCTATAAATCACAGAGACTGTGTTTGTCAAGTGTTACCAATATTACTTCTATCACCTGTCAGTGAGCTTCTTGGCAAAGCCGAAGTCAGTCAGGCGGATATGTCCTTCACTGTCCAGCAGGATGTTTTCAGGCTTCAGGTCGCGGTAGACAATTTCTTTGGAGTGGAGGTACTCGATGGTGCATACAATCTCAGAGGTATAGAAGAGGCCTGTGGTGTTACTAAAGCGCCCTCGACTGCGTAGATAGCTGAACAGTTCGCCACCTGGGACATAGTCCATCAACATGTAAAGGAAACTCTCATCGTGGTGAGTCCAGAACCTGAAAACAAACAGAAAGGGAACACATGTAAAATAACATGCATATAGTTTGATCTTAAATTCTTTTTAGTAAAGGCTGAACACCAAGTAAGCACTTCTTCAGTTCAGTTGTCTTATGAGTCCATTGAAGGGTAGAAGTGTTAAACTACATGTGATAAAATCACAGGCTGTATCAGTCTCAAACTCTTTTATCCCCCAGTGTGGTTTGGAACCATGTGCAACAACTATTTCAGCTGCAAGGGCACTTTAGAGAAATAAAAACAAGAGAGCACAATCACTGACAAAGATGAAGGAGGCTCAAGTGTTTTTCATAAGTGCTGGCTGCTGGCCACAAAGACAATTACTGACTCTTTCCTACACTACTACTTTATTTTCACACTTTTTTTACTTTTTCTGTTTCCTAATACAATAGTTTACTTCTAAATATGCACTTACTATTAGTATGCACTTATTATTAGTATGTATCACAGAACCAACATCAAATAATCACAACTGTATAAAGCATAAATTGTCAGTATCAGTCTCAAAAATCATAATCTTCAATATATTATGTACGAATTTCATCATTTTCTAAAAATTTATCTTTATCATTTGTACAATCTGAGTAACAAAAGGAAGTCTCCAAAGTAGAAAACATTAGGCAGAATACCCCAAAACTAGAGAAATGCATTTCCTGTCGTAAATGCGTGTGGATGCTAAGCTGAAAAATCATCCTGAACATGCCTGAAATCAATTGCTGAAACAGCTGAAGGATGAGAAAAAATGGCTGAAGTTCTTTGTTGAAATGGTTGAGAAGAATGGGGCAAGATTTTCAAAATAAAGCTAAAAATTTCAAAAGGTTTAAAAAAATCCTTAAGAGAAGCATGAATGTCCTTGAGGAGCTGAACATTTTGATAGCTGAAAGTATGATGAAGTTGAATTTTCCCCTTTCATTTGAATGGGGCAAAATTTTCGAAATAAAGCTAAATATTTTAAAAGTATGAAATTCAGAAAAATTTTGAAGAGAAGAATGAATGTCCAAGAGGGGCTGAACATTTTGATAGCTGAAATTATGCTGAAGTAGAATTTTACCCATTCATTTGAATCAAGAAAAACTTTCAAAATAAAGCTATATATTTCAAAAGTATGAAATTTACAAAAGTTCTGAATAGAAGCATGAATGTCCTTGAGCTGAACAGTTTGATACATGAAATAGCTGAAAATATGTTAAGTAAAATTTCTGCATTCATTTGAATGGTGCAAAATTATCAAAATAAAGCAACAGTATGACTGGACAATAACCCTCAGTGCAATACCTGTAAATATACCTTGTACAGATTATACAGCTTTGTATAGGTCTCTATTTTTAAGTACTCTATTTGTATTCCTATATATTTCATCTCACAAACGTTTACTGCCTGTTTATATTGCTTAGTTTGTTGGCTGATAATCCTGCTTATTTTTTTTTTTTTTATACTAGCCTTATGCTGGTTTACTGTTTACTTGCCCCTTGTATGGGGATATGTACACGCACATTTAGAGCTGATGTACCAGAGTCAAATTTCTCGTGTCTCCAAATCTCACCCGGCCAATAAAGCAGATTCTGATTCTGAAATCTACAGCTTTATTGGCCGGGTGTGTTGGACACACGAGGAATTTGACTCTGGTACATTGGCTCTCAATGTGCAAACAGTAAACCAGCATAAGACTGTGTAACATAACAAAAATAAGCAGTATTTACAAGCAACAGAAAGTGCAAACAATGCAGAATAATCAGTATGAACAGACAGTAACAATGCAGACAACAAAGGAATGTTCTTTGAAATGAGATAATTAGGGATAAAAATAGAGCACTTAAAACAGAGTACTAGAGACCTGTATGAGTCTGTATAATCTGTACACACACACACACAGTTTATGTTATGTAGTCCATGGGGACTTTACATTGACTTACATTCATTTCCTGTAGACTAACCCTAACCTTAACCAGAACCACTACTTGCCTAACCCTAACCCTGACCCAAACCTAACCCTAAACCATGTTGCCACCCTAAAATTCAATTTCTTGCCCATGGGGACCTCAATTTAGGTCCCCACCGTGAAATGGGTCCTCATGAGTTGGTATGGAGTCAGGAAGAAGTCCCCATGTAGCAGGAAAAACACATCCCCACACACACACACACACACAAACACACACACACGCTTTAGCTACCATACAAACAAGAATACATCTTATATTTTCTCAAGGCCTCACACCGCATCCTCAACCACAACTCACATCCAAAATTCTCTCCCTCACTCTTAGTTAAAGCACAACTAAGCTAGACAGTTGATTAATATATTTGGAGATAATTACATCCCACAAAGTTCTCCCTGTGCACTGTCCTCCTTCCAAAGTGCCCAGGTATTCTTCTTCTGATCATTTCTTTATTTCGATTGCACATTAACTGGTACATCGCTACGCACATGCTATCATGAGCCGCATCCATTTTTTTTTTCGCACAGTACGCTGTGTCTGACGTCACGTCCTCTTCTGCGCATGCGGGTCACCTCCCGTTCACACATGAGACAGATGGCAGTCACATTTAAATGGCAGTGTGAACAACAGCGCAAAAAAAATCAGATTTTGGCAAAAAATCTGGTCTGAGCATTAAGACCTGCAGTGTGAACGTAGTCTTGGTGCACAGTGACCTGTAACGCCGTCCAGAGGGGAGGAGTTCCAACAGATTTTGTCCAGGGTGTGTATTTGAGTCTGGTGTATTTGGTTGTTTAGTTACTAAATCACCCCTCTCTCACCTTGAGATGGTTCACAATGTTGTAGCTCCTTTCCTCATAAGCATAAGTACATTAAATCATATAACCCAGTTTTGGCCTGTCCTCACTGGTTTTCAAAATGTTACAGACCTGACAGCTTTTTACTCATAGCTTAAGACATTTCTTTATTAAGTCAAACTGAACTAAAACTGGTTTCCTGCCCTCTAGCAGTACTCAAGGTATGCAATTAAAACAAGAAATGGCTTTAGTTCTTTGTTGAAAGAGCTGAAGGATGAGATAAGATAACCTCTGTATTGGAAGGTAGGAACAGTATTATTGCGGATTTAGCCGTGCATTCAAATGGGTGGACCATTGTTCTTTTTAGTCTTTAAAAGGAGGATATTTCATGTAAGCTAGGACTGACGTTTATAATATGGTAGTAATCTTTAAACCTTTTTTGTGGATAAAAATGGTCAGTAAAGGTGATCAATTTGTGTTATTTGCTTTAATGCTTTCATTTTTAATATTGTGTAGATTTTTAGTTCCACTTCCTGTGTAACAGTAAAAAGTGTCCCATAGTAAGAAGGCCTCCGTCTTGTTGTTGTTGTGAAGGCTAACGAGTTGTTAGTTTTGGAGTAAGTGGTGAAATGCAGTGTCATTCCAAGTTTTTAAGTTGGGTGAATATGGTGAGAGCGTGATAGCCCGGAAATTTTGTTGTTAACAGGTAGGATTGAACATTGTTTATTTTGCGCTAACTGTTGCTAATGCTAATCCTCTGGCTGTTTGCAGCCGTGGTCCGTTGTCGCGAACCAAGTAGGTATCGTCGTGTTTCAACCTTTCACTGTCCGGTGAAATTGAGAATTTTTATTGTTTTTTGTTTTATTCTTGGTGGAGAGATCAGTATTTTAGATTATTGTTTGGGGGGTCTGAAAACCACGTTGGAGTGAACGGTAGAAAATAGCATTATTTGTGGTAGACGTGAGAATCAAGCTAGTAGTTATAAGGTAAGTTCTCCGGTACTTTATTTAGCTTAGGTTGCTGCAAAAGTTTGTGATTTTGGTGTTATTATTCCTCAGATTGTAGATTATTTTTGGTAAATGGGCTATATTTATATAGCGCATATTTTCTACAGTGTGTTACACCGGCCAAAGCGCTTTACAGGAGATCATACACCATTCGCCCATTCACACACACACTCCGATGATGAGGGGCTGCCACACAACGGCGCCTGTTGAACCACCGGGAGCAATATGGGGTTCAGTGTACATTTCCGGGTTGCAAGCGAGAGCAGACGTCTTTACTGCTGATTTTGTCTGTTCTACACTTCAAGTCTTTGAGCATACTTTACAACTACTAAAATTCCTCAAAGAGGGAAAAGAGCTAATAAATCAGAAGCGACGGAGGATATGGACGCAAAAGAAATGTATCACAGAGCAGCGCAAGTAAATGACATCGTGGATCATCAGAAACAGATGTACATTGCGCTGTTGAAACAAACAGCAGGAAAGCTTCAAAGGCTTTGTGCAACTAATTATGGAGACGAACAACAAGAGATTCGACAACATGACCAGAGAAATACAGGAGATAAAAACGAGTTTGCAGTTTACCCAAAGAGAGGTGGATGTGATTAAAGCTGCCATGGGTGAACAGAAAACACAAACCAAGGAAACGAGGGATGATGTCTACAAAACGTGTGAGAGTTTAATAACTATAACGGACAAA